ACTGCGCTGGAAAGGGCCCTACCCCATCCCCCTGTCTTTTATTGACAAAAACCAAGCCTTGAAGCCCAGCAATACTGCTGTGGTTACCTAGCAACAGCCCCTGAGAGAATTATTTTTTAAAAAAGTTACAGGCATTATTTCTTTTATGGGGGAAGGTTAACCCTCATTATTAATTTTTACATTTTAGATCTACCTGCAAATCTGTTTTTTTCTTCCCAGTCTGTAGAAAGACCTGTCTTGCCTAAGACTCCAGTCTCTGAATTTAAGTATTGACAGATTTGGCCATGTTGAGAATTAGATATATTCAGGGGTCATTTCCTGCAGGAGCGCACAGGAGCGGAGCTCCGGCAGTAAAGAGCCCAGGGGGCGGGCACATGCAACAAGCCCCACCCCCTGCTCCCAGCAGCCCGCAGTCAGAGCAAGAAGCAGCCAGGTAAGTTGCAGAGCCAACAGGACCAAAACAGTCCAGTAGCACCTTTAAGACCAAGTTTTATTCAGGTACAAGCTCTCCCTCCTCTGCAAGGACAGATCTGCACGTTTCCCCCCCCCCCCCAATACCTAGCAATCCAAAACAGTGCAGCGGGAGGTGGTGCCTTCTGACACACTTCCGATGATACCAGGGTGTGTGGCATATGCAAATAAGTTATGCTAATGAGTTATGCTAATGAGCTCCTGCCCCTCTTTTTCTACTAAATGACCCCTGGATATATTGATGGACACACAGGGCAGTTCAGGGCTTCTATGATGGCCACTTGGTACTTAAATCTGATTATTTCATATGACCATGTGGGGGCCCAACAATCCATGAGAGACTCTAGCATGCATGAACAAGCAATGAAACTTAACCGATGCCTAGGAAAGAGCCAACACTTAAGCCACGCCCAACTGCTTTCACAATGGAATGACATTTTGCTTCTGACATTGGTATGCTGTAAACTTCATTATCTGGGTTATTTTGTAACACCCAGTATACTGAATTTATAAAGTTTCTCAGTTACTTTCCGCCCAAATAGCCAAAGGTGACAGAGTGTAAAAAAAAATCACTCAATCCTAAAAGAAATCAACCCTGACTGTTCCCTGGAAGGCCAGATACTGAAGCCGAAGCTCAAATACTTTGGCCCCCAAGTGAGAAGGGAGCCCTCACTGGAGAAGACCCTGATGCTGGGAAAGATTGAAGGTCAAAGAAGACGGGGACGGCAAAGGATGATATGGTTAGACAGTGTTATCGAGGCAACGGACATGAAATTAAGCAAACTCCAGAGCACGACAGAAGACAGGAGGGCCTGGCGCGATGTGGCCCATGGGGTTGCAAAGAGTCGGACTCGACTATGCGACTGAACAACAACAAACCACGCTCATAGGCAGCAGCCTTAAAAGCTTTAGAAAATAAAAGGGTCTCATCAAAAGAGATGGGAACCATTCAAAGGAGGGGACGCTCCAGGGGTCTTTGTACACCCACGCACCAGCTAACATGTAAAATGCCACCCAACATTCATTAAAGGGACAGGAGGAAAATATATTGCTACAGAAACCGATGACACCTGGAAATATACACTCCATTAGTGCCCCAGAGGGAACTTCTAAGGGTTGCTTCCAAGCACCTTTCACTGAATATTCAGAAGCCTTTCCATTTGAAGGAGCCGTTTGATACATTTTATGGCCAAGTGCTGCTGATAATTATTTTTATTATTACTGTTTTAGCTGTCCTGCTTGTTCTATTTTATATGTACCAATGTGATGAAACCAGTGTTCCCTCTAAGCTGAGTTGGTGTGAGGTAGCTCAGTTTGTTAGCCTCCGGCTCATACATTTTTTTGTCTTAGCTCAGGAAGGAACGGCTCCAGAGGAGACTAATTTATGCAGCAGCCAAATCTCTGGCTCACAGCTTTAATGCCAGTAGCTCACAAAGTAGAATTTTTGCTCACAAGACTCCACAGCTTAGAGGGAGCACTGGAAGAAACATACAAAAGTGGGCCTCAGTGAGGACAGGCAGCTAGAAGCTTCCAAGATTTCACAGAACTCTTCCCTTTAACCTAGTATAACCAACCTGGTTTACTGTAAAAAACCTTACTCGAAAGTAAAATGTTAATCTTCAAAAGAATATCCTCCTCTAATCACTCCAACTCATTTTATGGCCTCGAAAGGGATCCCTTCACAATAAATAACAAGGACTGCTTATTGATTAATTCAGGAATGCAAAAAAATCTAGCATCTCTTGTCCGGTTCTCCTTCCTCATCTGAGAGCTGAAGGGGAAAGGGGAGGGGGAACCAAGTCAGTGTTAAGGACACCCATCTGATTCAGTTTCCAAGATAATTCACAGCTTATACATCTCTGGCCAAGTAAATATCAGAGCTATGATACATTAGGCATAAATTAGCCATTATGCACACAGTGCCCTAAATGGGTAAAGTCCTTGCCAATAATCTTGCTAGGAGCAGCTCACAATCCACTGCAGACAATGAAAAAGCAGAAGGAAAGGAAAATGTACTGTTGAAAGAGGAATGGGGGCAGGGAGGAAACCTGTACAGGAAGAAGAAGAAGAAGAGATTGGATTTATACCCCACCCTTCACTACCCAAAGGTGTCTCAGAGCGGCTTACCCCTTCCCCTCCCCAAAACAGACACCCTGTGAGGTAGGTGGGGCTGAGACAGCTCTGACAGGAACTGCTCTTTTTCAAGAACAGCTCTTATCAGAACTACTGCTTGCCCAAGGTCATTCAGCCAGGTGCAAGTGGAGGAGTGGGGAATCAAACCCGGTTCTCCCAGATTAGAGTCCGCGCTTCTATAGCCAGAGAAAATTAAGGACACCAATCTGATTCAATTCCCAAGCAAGAAAATGGATGGCTAGCAGACAAGAAGTTAAAATGGGAATTCCAAGGGTAGGTGAAGCATAAAGAGGTAGCAAAAGCAGAAAGAGAAAAAACACAAGTATGGCCCCGGTCACACGGGCCGGATATCGCGGGGGGGGAGGCGGAGCGAACTACCGCACGGCAGCCAGATCAAACGTCCCGCCCGATGTCCCGCCAACATCCCGTGGTTGGGGGGAGGTGCCGATCATACCTCACTCCTGCGGCACGGCAAAGAAGCGGCGTTGCGGGGGTTGTGTTGGTTTTTTTAACTCAAGTGTTTGCATGCGCCGTTGGGTGTTTGTGTGCACCCGTGGAGACTTGACCCGAAAAAAAATTTTTTCGCAACGGGACATGGGCGGGCGCCGGATGCCACGAGCTAACACCGGAAACGTGATCTGACACCCGCCCTTGCCCCGCGGTTTCCGGAAACTAGTACCTCGGAGGTACTGGTTTTTATAGCGCATCTTCGGAGTGAAGCCTCGGGAGCTCTACGCTTCCCAGATGTGGCGGTGAGATCGCGCCCAGAAAATCCACCTATCTTCCGTCTCTCTAGCGTGCCTAATGCTCCATGTGACCGGGGCCTAAATAAAGGGAAGGGTGCTATCAAACTCTGGTGCTCTAAGTGAGGGCATGGGCATGTTCTCAAACAACCGATGGAGATGCAGGAACTTCTCTCTGCCTTGCTCACTGATGGCTGACACTTAATCTATGTAGAAAGGAAAATGGGGAGCAAACAACTATTGCTGTGAATGTCTTCAGTGCGTTAGAGAATAGAGGGAAGAAGTGTGATGGGAAGAGTGCCTAAAGGCAAAAGTGTTGCAATGATGACTTGTGTGATATTTAGCAGAAAGTTCCCCAGATCTGTGTCTCCAACAGTGCTTCTTGTTATATGTCTGTTCTTTTAAAACAGAAGTACTATATTGTCATATGTTACAGCGTAGGCAGTACTTTGAATCAAAGGCTTTAGCATACTCAATGAAGCAGAAGTAGATGTTTTTCTGATACTCTCTTGCTTTCTCCATAATCCAGCGGATGTTGGCAATTTGATCTCTAGTTCCTCTACCTCTTGATTGTGTGGATCACAACCAACTATGGCAAGTCCTTAAAGAGATGGGAGTACCAGACCACCTCACCTGTCTCTTGAGAAACCTGTATAAGGGCCAAGAAGCGATATTTAGAACCGGATATGGAACAACTGATTGGTTTAGCATAGGAAAACGAGTACGACAAGGATGTATATTGTCGCCTTGCTTATTTAATATATATGCAGAGTACATCATGCGAAATGCTGGCCTAGATGAATCACAAGCGGGAATTAAGATTGCTGGGGAAAAGATCAACAACCTCAGATATGCAGACGATACCACTCTGATGGCAGAAAGTGAAGAGGACCTAAAGAGCCTCTTGCTCAGAGTAAAAGAGGAAAGCGCAAAAGTGGGCTTGAAGCTCAACATCAAGAAAACTAAGATCATGGCATCCGACCCCATCACTCCTTGGCAAATAGAAGGGGAAGTCGTGGAAGCAGTGACAGACTTCACGTTCCTGGGATCACTGCAGACGGTGACTGCAGCCATGAAATTAAAAGACGCCTGCTCCTTGGGAGGAAAGCAATGGCAAACCTAGACAGCATAATAAAAAGTAGAGACACCACCCTGCCAACAAAAGTCTATATGGTCAAAGCAACAGTATTCCCAGTAGTACTGTATGGCTGCGAGAAGACCCTGATGCTGGGAAAGACTGAAGGTCAAAGAAGAAGGGGACGGCAAAGGATGAGATGGTTAGACAGTGTTATCGAGGCAACGGACATGGAATTAAGCAAACTTCGGAGCACAACAGAAGACTGGAGGGCCTGGCGTGATGTGGTCCATGGGGTTGTGAAGAATCGGACTTGACTGTGTGACTGAACAACAAAAAGTACTTTGAATCAGGTTTAAGGAAGCAGCAAGGGATATCTACTGTTGGAAATTACATCCAAAGTTTATCTGCATAATACTGATCATCCCAAGCTCTAAAACTGTACACCAGACAGCTGATAACTAGATAAACTTGTTGGGGGGTGGGGGACTTGTCATTGTTTTAATTACCATTCTGCATCATCTGTTTTATTTTTAGATTAACAATGGTGCAATTGTTTGAAAAAGAGGGAAACTCACCAGATTTGGAATATAGCACCAGGACGTTATTCCTGGTTCTCAGGAGCTTCTTGAAGTCCTTCTGATCATTAATTTTTTCCATCAGTGGAGACATCTTTGCTGTTAATAGGAATGCTGGGAAGGTGATCTGTTAAAAAAAAACATTTACAATGAAAATATCAGTTGTTATCTAGTCAGTCAAGAACTCTGACATTAGCACACTTTTTTCTTTCAACAGAGGGAAATTATTTTCTACTCCAGAAGGTGGGACTTAAATGTTAGGGGATTCCTTCCCTTAGGATTCTTATATAACTGTAAAGTTGTGGAATATTCTGAGGCAAAACAGAGATTGCTGTTCAGGCAAGGGAGGGAAGTCATCTTTGTCTTCCGATGCATGAATCAAACTAACCAGCTTAGAGGATGAGAAGGTGAAAGAACTGAGAAACTCCAGGGAAACAATTCAGATCTACAAGAGACATCCAAATGTCAGTTTGCGGCCTTGGTGCTAAGGCAGATTGATTTAAAGTCAAGGAAAAAACTGATTTTAAACAAAATTCTGTATATATCTATTTAAAACATTTCTATGCTGCCTTTCCACTGAACTCCGGGTCTCCGACATGATAAACACTGCAAACATTAAAGCAATGTTTAAAAGGGAGAGGAAGGAGGGGTAATAGAAGTTAGTGAAGGAATGCCAGACAAAACAAGCAAGTCTTCATCTGCTGGAGGAAGACAAAGGAAAACAGACTTATCACCCTCGGGAGTGAGTTCCAAAGTTTCAGTGCTACAACTGAGAAGACCCTTTCTGGAGTTACCACCCACCTATCTTTGGATGGCAGGGCACCCAAAGCAGGACCTCGGAATAATAATAATAATAATAATAATAATAATAATAATAATAATAATAATAATAATAATAATAATAATAATAATAATAATAATAATAATAACAATAAAGATGATGGTTGTTGTTATTATTATTATTATTATTATTATTATTATTATTATTATTATTATTATTATTATTATTTACACCACTTTTCCCCGAAGGGCTTAGGGTGGTGAACAACAGGATTAAAATACAATAAATACATTATATTACAATTTACCAATAAAAACAGCAACAAAACAATGGCTTAAAAATTCAGTTTTCCCTCTCCCACAGGCAGATCTGGGGATGGTCATAGAGGAAGCCACAGTGAGGACCACAATTTGCATAGGGTTGCCAGGTCTGGATTGGATAAAAACTAAAAAACCAGAATAAAAGATCCAAGATGGTGTCCTGTTAATTTTCTAACCCAATTCTGCACTATCTGGCCATTTTGGGGGGCAAGGGGAGAGGGAACTTAGGACAAAAAATGCAGAAGGGGGGGAGGGGAGGGGGGTGCCAGCCAGGGGAAAACCGTCGCTGCCCTCAGACAAAAACCTGGCAGAACGTCTCTGCCTTACAGGCCCTGTGGAAATGCATCATATCCTGCAAATCCCTGGTACCATTTGGCAGAGAGTTCCACCGGGTTGGGGCCAGGACCAAGAAGGCCCTGGCCCTGGTCGAGGACAACCAGACATCCTTAGGGCCGGGGATCACCAGCAGATTATCAGTAGAACGCAAAGCTCTCCCAGGGGACATACCAGAGGCGACTGTCCCAAAGATACCGCTCAAGGCCTTAAAGGTCAGTACCAAAACCTTGACCCTGACTCAGTACTCCACTGGAAGCCAGTGTAGCTGGTGCAGCACAAGTTGGATATGTGCCATCTGTGATGGTCCCCTCAGGACTCACGCTGCCACATTCTGGATCAGCTGGAGTTTCTGGGTCAGTCTCAGGGCAGACCGGCATAGAGTGATTATAGTAATCTAGCCTGAAGGTTACTGTTGCATGGATTACCATGACTATGTCAGGGCGCAACAAGAAAGGAGCCAGTTGCCAAGCTTTGCAAAGATGGGGAAATGCCAGCCTGGTAACGTGCGTGACATGGGCCTCCATCAATAAGGAGGCATCCAAGATTATGCCCAAATTCCTGACGGACGGCACCAGTGTCAATGGGGCCCCCGTCAAGAGCTGGAAGCCTGAATTCCAATCCCAAAGACCCCCCCCCCCAGCCACAGAACCTCTGTCTTCATCGGATTCAGTCTCAGCCTGTTCTTTAGCAACCTCACCATGGCCTCCAATCCCTCAGACAGATTATTTGGGGAGGTAGGCATCCGTCTGTCCAACAGCAGATACAGCTGGGTGTCATTGGCACATTGATGGCACCCAAGCCTGAAACTCCTCGTCAGCTGGGCGAGGGGGGGCACATAGATGTTAAATAACATTGGGGAGAGGAGTGCCCCCCCCCCGAGGAAACCCACACAATAAGAGTTGCCTAGAGGACACATCCTCACCCAGCGCCACCCTTGGTCCCCTATCCTGGAGAAATGAGGAAAGCCACTGAAGGGCCACCCCACAGACTCCTACATCGGCAAGGCAGTGAGTCAGAAGATTGTAATCGACTGTGTCGAATGCCGCTGTGAGGTCCAGCAGCAACAGCAGCACTGACCCACCTCCATCCAGCTGTCAATGGAGATCATCTGTTAGGGCGATCAGCAAGTCTCTGTCCCATTGGCCAGGGTGGAAGCTGGACTGGAACGGATCTAGTGCCGATGTGTCATCCAGGAAACCCTAGAGCTGCTCACCTTCTGCCTGATCTGGCACAGCTAGAAAAATGCCAGTCTGGCAACAGTGGCTACCTGGGCCTCCACAGATAAGGATGGATCCAGGAGCACACCAAGACACTTGATGGTTGATGCTGTGGTTAACGGCACACCGTCAAGAGCTGGGGGTTGGCACCCCAACCTTGGATCACCCCCACCCAGCCACAAGACCACTGTCTTTGATGGATTTAGTCTCAGTCAGCCAGCCACAGCCTTCAGTCCCACAGCCAAATTAGATGGAGCAATGGTCGGCTGGCTGCCCATCATCAGATATAGCTGGGTGTCATCAGCATATTGATGACAGCCCAGCCCGAAACTCTGCACCAGCTGGGCAAGAGGATGCATATAGATGCTAAACAACATAGGAGAGAGGATGGCCCCTTGGGGGACCCCACACACCAAAGAGCATCAGGGTGACACTCTCTCTCCAAGCGCCACTCTCCGTCCCTGACCCTGGAGAAATGAAGTAAGCCACTTCAAGGCTACTCCATGAATTCCTACGTCAGCGAGGTGATGGGCCAACAAGTCATGGTTGACCATGCTCTTCCAATCTGAGCTCTGAGCAGGAGCAGGAGAGAGAGCTGTGAGAGAGGTGAGTGGGTTTCTTTTACTTGCTTTCAGCTGAGAGAATTCAGCTAAGGATATTTTGTGGGAAAACTGTGTTTAGCAGTGTGTGGAAGCACTTAGAGTTCTTGCAGAGTCCTGGCTGATTGAGTGTGGGAGAGGAACAGGCATTGTTTGACTGGGATTGCCTGTAATTGAGAGGAAGTGGAAGGGGCATTGTTTTGCCTGTGATTGAGTGCCTGGGTGAATTTGAATTTGAATAGCTGCTGCCTGACCTCTGCTGGGGGAGGCCTCTATTTAAGGAAGCACCTTGGCAGAGGCTAAAGGGCTCTTTGCCTGTGGCTCTTAGACTAGGGGCTCTGTAAGAAGCCCAAAAAGAGCCAGAAAGACAAGGCCCTAGGCTCTTTGTCTTTCCCGTAAAATAATTTGACTTGATAACAAAAACCACATAAATACCAAGGGTTTAAAAGGGGGATTATATTTATTTATTTTAAAAGAATTATGAAGCCAGAATGCCAGCAGGGGGTTGGGGGCTATCCAGTGTTTTGCACGGAGTGTCACATGTATGACTATCTGCCCACTGGGCAGAAGTCTTGGGTGTGTCCTCGGTGCAAGGAGCTCCTGGTTCTCAGGGAACGTGTGTGCTCCCTTGAGGCCAAGGTGGCTGACCTGGAGAAGCAGAGACAGTCAGCTAGGCGCACAGAAAAGACTCTCGGGGACTTGTTAGCTTCGTCCCACTCTGGATCTGGCAGCCCCGCTGCTGTCAGGGAGCATGAGGGTCTAGGGGAAACAGGGCACCATGCTGAGGATAAGGGGAATGTGCCCTCAGAAGGGACCTCTTCCCCAGCTGGTGAGCGGCTCTCCTTTTGCACCAAGGAACCATCCCTGAGCAGGGTGGGAGGGGGGCTCTTGGTAGTGGGTGATTCGATCCTTAGGCAGGTAGACAGCTGGGTGGCGAACCCGCGTACTGACCGTATGGTGACTTGCCTGCCTGGTGCGAAGGTAGCGGACATTACGCGTGTTTTAGATAGGCTGGTAGATAGTGCTGGGGAGGAGCCAGTGGTCGTGGTGCATGTCGGCACCAACGATGTGGGGAAATGCAGTCGTGAGGTCCTGGAGGAGAAATTTAGGCTGCTGGGCAGGAAACTTAGGTCCAGGACCTCCAAGGTAGCCTTCTCAGAAGTGTTACCTGTTCCACGCGCAGGGCCGGAGAGACAGGCAGAGATCAGGAGTCTCAATGCGTGGATGAGACGATGGTGTAGGGGGGAAGGGTTCAGGTTTGTTAGGCACTGGGATACTTTTTGGAACAAGAGGGAGCTGTACAGGCGAGACGGTCTCCACTTGTCCCGAGAAGGAACCAGGCTGCTGGCACTTAAAATCAAAAAGGTGGCAGAGCAGCTTTTAAACTGAATATTGGGGGAAAGCCGACAGGAGATGAAAAGTCTCTGGTTCGGGTTGGCTCATCTGAGAGAGGTGAGGGGGTACCGGTTGCTTTTCTACAGGGAGGTGGATTGAAATTGTCCACAGAGGCCATGGCTGGTGACATGGACTGCCGGACAACGACTCGAGATAGCAAGAGGAAGGATGCAGGCTTAACTTGTAAGGGAAATTACAGCTGTTTCTATACAAATGCTAGAAGTGTCCGAGGTAAAATCGGGGAGTTGGAGTGCTTGGTGTCGGAGGGAAAAATAGACATTGTGGGTATTTCTGAAACTTGGTGGGATGAGGAAAATCAGTGGGACACAGTGATTCCCGGTTATATATTATATCGGAAGGATAGGGGGGGAAGGGTTGGAGGTGGGGTAGCTCTGTATGTCAGAGAGGGTATAAAGTCTAGAAAGATTGAGAGGCTAAGTGAATTGGATTCGCTTCTGGAAGTTCTATGGGTTGAAATAGGGGGGCCAAAAGGAAACTTAACACTGGGAGTTTGTTATCGCCCACCAGATCAAAAGATAGAGGAGGATTATAAAATGATGAATGCCTTAAAGATAGCAACTAGACAAAAACACTGTGTAATAATAGGTGATTTTAACTACCCACACATTGATTGGGTCAATATGTGTTCTAGCCGGGAAAAAGAGATTGAGTTTCTAGACACTCTAAATGACTGTGCTATGGAGCAGATGGTCACGGAACCTACCAGGGGAGAGGCGATCCTTGATTTGGTCCTAAGTAACACTCAAGACCTGGTGAGAGATGTAAAAGTGATTGCACCGCTTGGAAACAGTGATCATAATGTTGTTGAGTTCATCATTTGTACAAATAGAGAATTGGCCAAAAAGACTCACACAACCATTTTTAACTTTAAAAGGGGTAATTTCTCTGATATGAGGGGACACGTGGGGAGGAAACTGAAAGGAAAAGTA